CAGAGTGATCAACAGACAGCAGGACTGTGGACAGCTCTACTATTATTCCTACTAGTAGTAGTAGAGAGGGTACAGACTCTTGCACTCGGCGGCAAACGAGTGCGAGGCAATACTCCGCTCGGAGCAGCCGGGGCATAAAGATACGTGGCACTTGTAGGAAGGAGGATTCCTACAAGGCTCTTGCGTGCCCGTAACAACCATTGATAGCGAGTGAGCATTCAGTTCAAGCTCCTCTTCTAGTTGTGTGGCAGATAACGGAGACTGGTCTCTAGTGTAGTATCCTCCATAGTCACAATCTAAACATCAGTGCTGTTCTGGCTTGGGGTACGGGCTGTCCTTGGCGTGAAAGAAGTTGAAAACAGTACACGTAAACCTGTTGTTCCACATAAATGTTCTTCCTTCAAAACTGACAGTGACAAGAACTGCTAGCTAAAACATCACAGTCCTAGACTATAAATAAGTGAAAAATCCAACAAAGCAATTCCAACTCCACCACATGCGCTCTCTGGGTGACCTCATCACACCAACAACATGAGTCCAAGTTGTACATACTGACAAATACAAACTCCCTCCTTACAGTGCTCTTTCGACCACTATACTGTAAAAGCCACATATATATATATCGAAGTGCTAACTCTAACGAGTTAACGAGGAGAAATCTGTCGTTAAAATAGAAATCGTTATACAGAAATCGATACATATACTGTCCTATTGAGCGTCGAGAATGGGTGAAAATCGTTACCTTTGGTACACGTAAACTTGTCAATTTTGGGAAATCGTTATATTATATGTGCCTCATTAGAATAAAGGCTTTTACAGTAGGTCGAAAGCTGCTGCTGGTGCCTACCTATTCACTGTCAGTCGACAAATTTTCGGCCCATTCAAATTTCGGCCTCCCAGGGCTAAAACCCATTTGGGCCGCATCAAATTTTCGGCCTGTACTGCTGCCGCATGTATACACTGTCACCTCGGACCTTGCAAAACCAAGTTTCGGCCGCAAACAAATTTTCAGCCAAACATGACCAGGCTGAAAATAGCCAAAAATATGAATAATTATGCACCGAATATTTGTTGACGTACAGTATGTGAAAAAATGCCGGAGTGAGTAGTTTTAGTGACCTACTGCATGGGGACTTCCACAAATAACAAAATGAAGTCATGCAGTGCGTTCTAAAAACTTCCAGTTGGAGGAACGCAATTCAAAACCAACCTTATCGTGGTGTATGATGATGCGCTTTGCATTGCTGCTCGCCGTGACAGGATCCGCTACGGACATGAAGGAAGGCTGGTGAGCACATATGCAAGCATGCACACAAAAACACACACACACACACACACAGAAACATACAGAAACACACACACACACACACACACACACACACACACACACACACACACACGCACACACACCCAAACACAAGCCCAAGTAAGCCAACACTGCATTACACGGTCAGCTTCGATTGAGATTTGCACAGCTGTTTAACAGCCTGCCGAAAATATTACCTGCTACTGACAAGGATTTTAACACATGCATCTATTGTAGGCTGCAATGGAGGTGTTAGGTACCTCCGCCCGTACTACGTCATTCTCACCTACGTCATTCTCACCTTTGGTTCCGTTGGCCTGGGTAGCTACTTGTGCACCCATGTTTGCCATAGCTACCCAGGCCCTATATATTGCGTTGCCTCTCTTCAAATCTCTCTCTCAACTCTCTTCAAATAATCGCTAGTCATAATGTAGTTGTTGCGTTGCGTTGCGTCGCTCCCTTGAGTCGAGCTCTCTCTAGCCATAATGTAGTTGTTGTGTCAGAACGTTCAACAATGTAGTTTCAACAGGAGGTATGGCAAAACTGAGCCTGCTAGTGAATACGGCACTTTGATAGCGATATAACTTGTTTCTGGCTAGGCACACAAATGTTGCATGCAGTGTTATCCTTTGGGGCAATGACATCTGTTGAAAATCAAATCACATCCGCGCACACTGTTGCTGGTATTTCCTTGCAATCACATTGTTTCACTTTGACGTTTTATGGGTTGGTTGTTTATCCCATCTGCTTAACAGAGCCTCTTCAACATGGAGTACCAAAGAAATGTGCCTTCACAATCTTCCGCACTGATTTAGAAGTATACTGGATAGCGCTATGCAGCGTAGCACAGAAGTGCGTTAATACCATGCTCACATTGCTCAGGGCTTGCATTTCCTTGCAATCACATTGCTTTTACTACGACATTTTTTTGGGTTTACTTTGGATGCGTCAAATGGATGTTAAACAGATGTGTCCTCACGATCTACCACAATGATTTGGAAGTATACTGGATACGGCTCAGTTCAGGGTAGCATAAAAGAAATACCATGCTCACTGCCTACTCACCGTATCCGCTACCAGCCTCCAGCCGTTGTTCTCCCACCGCTGATACCAGCCTTCCTTGTCTGGATTACATCGGCAGACACAACATGTTTCAGAAGACATGCACGGTCAGTGGAAACTGCCCTGCTGCATGTCGGAATCAACTGCGCCAGCCATTACTGCTCACAGTGACAGGGGCGTCGAACGGTATTCAGGCTCCATTAGTAGGACCACGAAAAGGCGGAAAAATAGGAAAATTGGGCCCAGATAGCCCATATTTCATTGCTTTAAAAGAAATCACATAATGAAATCATTGGTGCGGCTTTGGCCGCATCTGCCGCACCGGTTCCGACGCCCCTCAGTGAAACTAAGTTACCATGGATGCAGCAGGCCGTGACTCAGCTTGATACTCCATTTGAGTATTATATGTTGACTTTGACAGGCAGTCTGTTTGCTTGATAATTGATCATCAGCTTGATACTCCGTTTCAGTATTCATATATATTGACTCTTGACAGGCAGTGTGCGGTGTGTGCTCTGTGATTAATCGTCAGCTTGATACTCCATTTGAGTGCTGATATAAGTTGACTCTTGACAGGCAGCCTGTTTGCCCTGGGCAACATGCAACAGACCGTGACACTGGGTTAGCCGTGGCAAGTCTTTCTAGTCATCACGGCTAATGAAGGTCATGATCCAAACTCGTGGCGTGACGTTTTATCATTGTTCCATATTCCTCCAGGAGGCACGCTCCTGGTTTTCCGTAAAACTACAATCACGAGTGGAAGTGGCAAACGCCGCTTTCGGCCACACTGAAGGACAACTACTATAAGCAATGTTAGAATCATGACACGCAGGCCCAGGGAAACAACGCATCGGCCTTTCTCTTAGACGGCCAAGGTAAGCTGGTAATGTTATGTGTGTCCTCGCACACACCATCACTAGTGCAATTGGTGTGTCATGCCCTGACGCCAGCTCGAGTGGGAAGCTGATGCAACAATGCTAAGCATTGTTAAAACTAGGTTCAGTGAGCAGGACTTTCTGATAAGGCACATAATGAGAACCTTGCATCCTCTTCGTTGCGTTTGGTCGCAGGCGAGGTATTGAAAGGGAGGCTACACAGTCATGTAGACTTTCTTTGCTGTTGAATGACTAAGATGATGAAGCAGATGGCAGATGGCGGCCCATAGCGCTATCGCAAGTGCCGCAAGTACGGCCGGGACGTTCTTCCCTACACATGTAGTAGCTTTATTATCTACTACCATGAGCTGCTTCATTCATTCTCTATCATCTACCAGAAGTAGTCACTGATGAATTCTGGAGAAAAGTGTTTCTGGGAAACGAATCGGCGTCCGTTGGTTGTCAACTGCCGGGTTGTGTTTCTACCAGTACCGGTAAATTCAACTGCTTGTCTTTAAAAAAATATCTTGCTTCCTTGATTGATTCAATGAATGATTGAGTGTGAGCCAGTGTTGCTGACAAGCCACTTTTTGCTTGTCTTTTGTCCGATTTGTCAATAATGATATGACATTATGTCGTATTCAATAAATTCTTGGTCGGAGTGCGGTCCCTGCACAAACTTCCATCCGTAAGATAGTTTGAAAATACACAGAAAGTGTGGTTTCTACTTTGCGGATTGCGCGGATGAAGCTGCATGATGAAACAACGGCAATGAAAAAGTGATCATCTTTGCATTCTCTTGTCTCTGGACAATGGTTTTCACACCAATACCTATGGAAAAAGAGAACAAAAAGAAGCTCACGTCCCCGGGTGGGCTTGAACCACCAACCTTTCGGTTAACAGCCGAACGCGCTAACCGATTGCGCCACGGAGACAGGATGTGGAGCACCCTGAATACTCCATGCATGTAGTATGTTTAGTTTTCCTCCACTGGGCTATCTGCAAGTGGGCGCAGCTTGAATTTTGCATGGTTGAACTTCCCCACGCAGGAGGCGAGACAAAAATCGAGATTCCCGGGCCAGCACGCAGGAAAATCGACTTTTTTTTAACAGTTCACGTACTGATCATGTGACTAGATATCTGACTTTTTATTTATTTTATTTTATATAATACTATGTGACTCGTAGAAAGAGTAGTGGAAACTGCTACTCAAGTGGCCATTCATGCAAACCTGGTAGAACAATCATGGCATGTTAATGCACAAGAGAACTTGGCAAAATAACATAGCGTCCTGTCCTTCGCCTCCTTCACTTCTAGTCTAGTCATACAATGCCATGTACAACTTGATGTTATGCTTTATTCTTCTACAGTAGACTACTGTAAGACATGTACATATGACGAGGAAGTAAATCTAATGTTTTAACGAATGACATTTCTTCATACTCTCTCGTTAACCTAAGAATTTTGGCCAATTGTTAAATTTGCGACTCGTTATAATAACATGTCTTACAGTATCCGGTGCTTAGCCCGGCTGGTTCACAGCATGGTCGGTGAGCAGGTAAATCGGAAACTTTGCCACGAATCAGTGCTTTACTACTGTAAGCTGTGCACAGCATCCAGAATTTAAATCGCTGTTAACCACTCATCCTGGTCTACTGCTTCACCTAACTGTGACCTTGATATTTAGCTACTCGTTTCACGTTCCCCACGTTCCTTTCTTCCTCTGCTTCATCTCTTCCCCTCTACACCCCCCCCCCCCCCCATGTTCCGGCCCATCTAAAAGGACTACCGTACCTTGCCAATCTGGCCTTGTTCTGCCAGGGCGACCACCGTTTGCCGCGCCGCTTGGCAGCTTGAGATTCTGCTCCCTGGCCGTGCGCTGCTTGCCTGCGTACTTGGTGTAGTCCTTAGGACTGTTGGCACACATGTCCTCGACTGGACGGTGCGTGTAAATGCGGTAGTAGATCGCCGGAGGAAACGTGTCCTGGGCATAAATCGGAGCATAGAAATCATTAACCCAAATGTGCTGCGTTTGTGCACTTGTAGTGGGCACACCATGCAGTATGTGGCCTCATGGCCACCTGTGCACCAAGGCTTCATGAATACTGCCAGAGTCTGCGTTACCGACACACTAATAATACACGGATGCACAGGCAGTATCCGAATACTCATCAAGATCTCATGTGTGTTCTATTCCCCTCAACTAGTGCTTTGAAATACTGTACAACCGGAAAGTTGAATGACCAAAAAGCTTAACGTTTTTGTAATTTTGGCATGATAACGTGCAGAAAGTTTAACGATGGCTACCTGGCCACCCATCTGTATGTGAATCTTTACACAGACTTCTCAAACCGGTTTCGCGATAACGTTTCTTCAAAAATAAAGGAAAAAATGGTCGTTAAAACTTTAGACTTTGTGATTCCTCAGACTTTCCGGTTCTACAGTATACACCAAGTGCTGTATATCAGATGCTCGCCCCCGAACACTATGGTATGACACGATCATATCTCTTGACGGATTCTTAAATTCTAACCATCTCGGCATCGCATAGTCCTCCCTGCACTGACCCAATCACTTGCCATGCAAACGACCGCTGGCCTTACCCCGCCAAGACGGAACTTCACGTGGACACCAGCTGCTTTGTCGAAGAGCTGCGCCTGTTGCAGTTAGCAGATGCATTCATGTAGCACAGGCAAACAACAGTTCAGTCTTTAAGCACTGGTAACACTTGTCCAGGGCCATAACACACTTGTAAGACCATACTGTAAAACATGCAATTTTCGGTGTAACTTCAATTTCGGTGACTTCGGTAGAGAAACCAGGCACATAATTTTAAATTACACCTAAAAGGCACTAGAGTATGCACTGTATGTGAAAGGAGCGCTGGTCACCTAATTCTAAAATACACCTGACAGCTGTTAGGTCCCTGCCACCGAAATTTTGATACACCTAAAATTATATGTTTTACAGTGTTCGATAAATAGCCAAATTTCGAATCGTAAAGCACTTTGAAAATCGATGTCAGGATTGTTTAATCGTGTGCATGCTCAGACGGACTATTCATAGGCATTTTCAAGGACATTTGGTGAACTAGCAAAACCGGTTTGCAACATTCACAAAGGCAACTGTTTTGCAGTACATGGTATTGAGTTCATTGGTAGCTGGTTCTTGAGGATCTTCTATGTTGCCTGGACCCACCCTACCTCTCTCGGGTTGATGGTACGCAGCATCCTCGCTGGATCACCGGCCGCGCGGTGCGACAGTATTCTACGATAGACCTCGAACGTCCGCCTGTACTAAACACCACAAGATGATTTCACAGATAAAGCAGGGATGTGATGCGCTTCTTTACTCTGGAAATATATGCTTGTTGAGGCTAGAACTACATGTTCACTGCCATACTATTTCATTCCTGTCTATCCAGTGTCTGCTCCAGAGCCGGGTCAGCGACCCAGTTGGGGGGTACTTGGACCCGCTTGGAAAATGAACACCGGGTCACGTGTGACCCGGTTGGGACTCAATAGAGGAGTCCTAAGACCCGCTGATGTACAATTTGCAGTACTTGAATGTACCCGGGGCTGACCCGGTTGCAAGAACTGTGTCAGGTACACCTGTACCCGGTTGGTTTGAAATCCTAGAGCAGAAACTGCTATCTCCACCCCATATGTATATGTCCAGTTCCTCCAGAAGCAGCATAGTAGCTAGTTGTAGTTGGCTGAAGAGTGAATGGAGGGGAGGAGTAGACAACCATTGTATCACTGATTTCAAGTACAGTGAAACCTGTCTAAGACGACTGCTCAAGGGACCTTCAAAATGTGGTCTCTGTAACCAGGTGGTCTCCCTATCCAGGGTCATTTGACTAGAAATACCATCCATTGGTACTGGTTTCAGTGGTCTTTTAGGACAGGTGGTCTTCTAGGACAGGTGGTCGCCTTGAAAGGTTTAACTGTACTAAAAATTGACTCTAAACTTGATTTACCGTGTACGCTCTCCAGGCATTCTGGATGCACAGCGCAGCGAGTTGTTGGTGATTGTAGTCCGCAAGAGCGCTGGGGTTGGGGCCGCAGCTGGCCTCCCCTGAAGGTCTCACTGGGTCAGTCATGTCGATCATGCACTGGGTTAGATGCCTCTGATGTGGTCTTTCCAGGGCTCAGATCAGCTGTACGTTTGCAGAAGCAAAATAGGTCATAATATTGAAAGCACGCACATACATGTATATGCATGCACACACACCTCAGACCTCAGACCTGCCCATCGCGGAAGCGATGATAGCGAACAGCTATGTTAGACATAGCAACTTGTGCTGGGATTACACCATTCAACAGCTTGCAAGGCTGATGAATTGACCGCCACTATTTTTAGCACACACACACACACACACACACACACACACATCTGACCTTTGACGCCCATCGCCGGAGGCGATGATAGCAATGCTACGGCAGAAGCCATGGCAACTTGTGCTGGGATTGCACCATTCAACAGCTTGCAAGGCTGAAGAATTGACTGTCACTATTCAGCCTGGTCTACACCATACAGCTATTTGAAGTGACTTTTTCTGGCCAGTGAATCCCTATTTTTGGTCTTTGTTCGGTCTTTTTTCTTTTTCTTTTTTTTCCTGCACACACACATCACACCACATACTCCGGCATGCACTGGCTGTTGGTAACCACTCAGGAGAATGGAAGAAAAGTCAGGAAGAGTCTGAGAAAGAGAAGAAAGACGTGTGTGACCATAATCGTCGGGAATCGAACCCGCAACCTATCGATTGGAAATCGCTGCACATACCACTGCACCATATGGGACACACACACCCACCCACCCCCCCCCCCCCCCCCCCACACACACACACATACATGTACATCCATCTCTCGTGGCACGAAAGCTCTACAATACGCATAGCATTGTCCTACTTGTAGCCGCACAGCGCACCCATACCCTGGTTAGATATGGCACATGGACCTGGTGCTAAGGATCACCCGCCCAAACCTGTCCCCGGGGAAAATTGCGATTCCGCGGCCGCGTTTTTTTCCGCGTTTTTTGCGATTTTTTAAAAGACCGCGTTTTCCGCCATTTTCCCGCGTTTTTTGAACTTTTTTGTTGCACTACACGTACACACAATGCACTGTTCGGTCAGCAACGTCTCATCGTGGCGGCTTTTTACTCAAATATGACGAGTGCTTACACCAGAGACTTGTAACTGATTGATTTCACTACAAACTCACTGAAAATTGCCGCACATCAATATTATTCACCGCATATTTACCGCAAATTCACCGCAAATTATGCCATATTATGCCGCGTTTTCCCCGCGTTTTTTTGCGATTTTTGTCCGCAATTTTCCCCGGGGACAGCCAAACGTAAATGCCGAGAAGTTGCATCTGTCCCCGGGGAAAATTGCGGAAAAATATCGCAAAAAACGCGGGGAAAAACGCGGCATAATATGGCATAATTTGCGGTGAATTTGCGGTAAATATGCGGTGAATAATATTGATGTGCGGCAATTTTCAGTGAGTATGTAGTGAAATCAATCAGTTACAAGTCTCTGGTGTAAGCACTCGTCATATTTGAGTAAAAAGCCGCCACGATGAGACGTTGCTGACCGAACAGTGCACTGTGTGTACGTGAAGTGCAACAAAAAAGTTCAAAAAACGCGGGGAAAATCGCGGAAAACGCGGTCTTTTAAAAAATCGCAAAAAACGCGGAAAAAAACGCGGCCGTGGAATCGCAATTTTCCCCGGGGACAGTTGCATGTATGATTTTATCAACGGTGAAAGGAGGAAGGACACAGCTGGTAACGTACGTATGGACCGTGAGTATCACTAGCATGGATGTACCAATGCTTTCTCAATAGACGACGATGATGTGCACCAGCCGGACAAGTAAATCAGTCGGACCTGTAATATCAAGAGTGTGCAACTCGAGATGGTGTGGCCCACGGCGGAATGTTTTGTCGACGCCATCTTTTCTGGAAATCATGAGTCATACTGTACGACGCATGCACTGCGAGTCTTCGCGAAGTTTTGCCTCGTGCACTTTAGCCGGGCTTAACATTACAAGGTCAGTGCCCAGCACGTGCTCTCACACTGCTCTGCGACAAAACGCGAGTGCTCTGTGCGACACACGTCATGTTCTCTGAAAAAGGTGATATCAACAAAAATTCCGCCATGGGCCGTGGTATCTGCATATTTTGCAGAAGAGATGCGGAGTTGCACACTCTTGTTTATCTACTCTTGGTACTACTGATAGCATGTAACATGGTGTATGCTTACACCCTACCGACACACGTACACCACGTACACGCTCTGATATGAACGGTGCAATCATTACGGCAAATCTTTACTCTCATGATTTGTTCTCAATCATCGTCGAAACTGCATCGCCAAATATTGTCCTCCAGTAACCACCGAGTACCGGTAAATCCTATGTAAGCCCTTGGTAAGCCCACTCCTATCTACCAGCGAACACTTTTTTTACAGCAGGTAGCAATGATCTTCGCGTCTTTACCTGATCGCAAGTTCCCACAAGCTTGCCAAACAGATCGCGTTGAGCCATTCTCTAGCTCTTCCCGGGAAACTTCAGAGTGAAAGAGTTTATAATCAGCGACACTGGATGTCTTTCTCTCCCGTGTGCGCGTCCAAGGCAAGATGCAGCCAACTGTTACTGCGCGTCCAAGGCAAGATGCAGCCAGCTGTTACTTCACAATGATCAATGAGGTCGACCCTGACTTCCCGTCTGCTTATCCCACGGCGCTGACCCTATCGGAGTAGCAATGGCATTGCCCTGATGGACACTAGTCCAATACAAACTAAACTAACAAGACACACGAGAACGCTGACGGTGCAACGGTTCGCGGTCGTGACGAACAGCGGCTACAAGAAATCTAATAATTATTTTCACAACATTATAGATCTACTACGTATACAGCATGCAGTTCAGTTTCCCATTCTTTCTCAGTTTCTACAAGTAGATCAACGTGTCATGCAGATCTACACCTGATTGTTATGTGGAAGCTTCGAAAAAGCGCTGGCGCCATGGCAGCTAGCTAGCTAGAGCTGGCGCTTGGCTCGCACGACTCCCTAGCTTCCACCATGTAGATCTACATGACCATTGTCATTATAAAATTAATTATGTCCCAGGCCGGGCCTAGCGCCTGGTAATATTAAATAATTGGTATGCATGGTGGTTCCACGTGTCACAGCAGGTCAAGAGTAGACGACAAGACTCGAACTTCGAAGTGGCGCAACCTAGTCCTTCGTTGGCTCCAGGGGGAGCTCCCTGATCAAACTGCGCGATCTAGTAGTACTAGTAGTAGTAGTACTAGTAGTAGCAGTGAGATGACACGTGACCATGGTGACGAACCCTTGCTATATCATAGTATATGCGACGCTTGCTATAAATAATAATTAATAATGCTAGTAATTGTTATCTTGTTTAGGAATGGGTTTGCTCCCACACTGGTGCTCGCTCTATTCCGCCGACGACTTGACACTTGACTGACTCACGACTGCCATCCAGAGAACACGAGAAGTCCATCGAACCTTCGACTCGGCAAACCTGCAAGAAAGCACCACTCCCTGCTCAATACACAGTGTTTCGGGGAATTCACCCCTCATCAGTTGAGCTTGAGTAGGCTGAGGAAGATTGTGCCTGAAGAGCACCACTTATATTATAGTGCTGTCCAGAGACAAACATCACCAGGGATACAAACTTACAGAGACACTCCGCTTCCAGCGCGACAAACACCTCGTGAATACCAGATACTGAGATAGCAGCGTGAGTCAGTTATCGAACAGACGTAGAGGACCCTCGGTCATTCACAACGCTGTCACCTCCAAACCTTGACTGAGGGAAAGACACAAACGGGAAAGTCTGAAGAAAAAATTGACTGTCACCACCAGGACTCGATAATAATCATATACGCGTGAGCGCCACAACAACAATTACCTGTACATGAAATTGAAAGGCTAGCTGGCTAGCCGGCCAGCTGCCGGGCCAGGTCAGCGGACTGCAGTGTCGGCTGTCAGTAGCAGCAATGCCTTCGCTGACAGTGACAGTGTCAGTCTGTGGCAGAGTCTGCCAGGCATTCTGCCTTTCTGGGTCCACGATCACCCTGGATAACTACATACAGATCAGGCACAGGTATACGGATTACCGGTGTGTTTACGACTCCCTGGTAGATCTACAGATCTGCTGGCAGATCGGGGTCTGCAAGATAGGCCTTGACGGATTATGCTAATATTTTCGTGAAATTATGCTTTTCGCATTGCTGAAAAAGTTGCAGAATTATGCTATTTTTATGCTAAAAGTTATCATATTATGCCACATTATGCTCACATATGCTGCTAATGCATAATGGACCTTAATGGTTCTGTGCAAAACAACAGGGGAATTTTTTTGTAGAGGGCGTTGTACTGTAGTAGCAAAAGTTCAACGGGGTCAACGCACCGTCCGACCTAGCTACGACCATCACTGATTGTAGTGGACTGGACATGTTATCAAGGGAGAAACCTACAACTTTCTTGTGCATCTACTTGTACTTGTAGAACATGTACAACTGTATGGAATAGACCGATCCCCTTATTATTGTCTGGGTTCGAGCAAGGGGGCAACTCCGCAGTCGCGTGGGATCCTGCTGCTGCACACACGCGACCAACCTCACCTCTCGGCTGTGTGCGCGACTTCTCGCATGCGAAGTGCAGAGCACGCGAAATCTACATGCAGTGCAAGCCTGTCTACAAAAAATGTCACAACGACTTTTGATTTGAGTTGTTTAGTTTTTGTTTAGACGTCTTCCTTTTTACGACTTCAGGATGCCTTCTCAGGATCATTGCTGCGTTCCTCACTGTCAGAACAGGAGGACGAAGCAAACAAGTCATTTCACTCCTTTCCTCGTGTGGAGCCACAGCGGCCTGGAGCGAGCGGATCCAGGCTATGCCCCGTGAGGAAAGACGTAGTTTTAGGGTCACTCTGAATATTTGAGTTGCAGCGATCTTTTCGATCCCGAAATCGAAATCGTTTTGCCCAGCTCTACAAGGGCAGGATGAGTCCAGGAACCCAAACAGCTGTCCAACGGTACCAGGTTTGCTTTTCGCAAGAGAGTGGAGTCTGGAAGCCCTGCTCCCCATGCTCGCAAAACAGTATTTGCTGAGCCTAGTGCAGTTCGGTCATGGAAATGCAGCGTCTGCATCACGAGCTCCTCATGCTCCCAAACCAGTATTTTGCTGAGAGGCAACGGTACTTTGAGTTGGAAGGGAACCTGGCTTAGTGCAGTTGGGTCCTGTAATGGAAGTGCAGCATCTGCATCAGGAGCTGGCAGCAAGTAGAGCTCGTGGAGCAGTTGGACGATGTGAGGACTGGGGTGAAGAACGCCGAAAAACAGCTTACGTACAATAACATAATAAAGACTCTGAGCCGCTCCAGTTTCTGACTGGTTTGCCTTCAGGTGTTTGGACCGCTCTGTGGGACTTCTTTGAGCCTAGCCGAGAAAATGTACTGCGCCGCGCCAGATCTGCGAAGACGGAAGCTGAGGGACGGCGGATACAGTTGGAGGTGGCCGTAAATCGCCAATGAGCATGTAATGGAGGATCAGCTGCTATTGGCATTGATATGTCTAAGCCTGGGCCGAATGGAACAGAAGCTGGCATGCGTGGCACAAGTTAATCATCCGTTTCACGGTATATAGCTAGCTGAGCTGGAAAGATGTCTTGTTCCTCCGTTTGGGCATGATCCCCATTTGGGCGAGCTGGCGAGATGTTCAGTCATCAATGCCATGTACCGCAGGACATTCTGCATTGTGGATGAAACAGTTCTATTTTGCCATGCACTTAGGGTTCTCGCACCGGCATGGCACAACAAGACCCAACAGCTCCTTGCGCTCTTATTTTCTCCCATGGTAACATTGCTGATCACAACACCCGGTAGCCAGTCGCAGATGCAACCAAATCAACCAGGTTCTCTTACTCTTTTTTTCCAATACTGAAACCAAGGTATACCAATATTTGCATCGATGATTTCAATACTGTCCACCAGTACAACGCATTACCAGACTGGCATATAATCATGATACTATTATCCATTTCGCAATCACTGTCATTGCTTTCTTAGAGCTCCAAACATCAATATCGGACCATAAACCGTCTATCATCTTATATTATATCATCATCAATATCCTGCTACTATCCTCCTCTAACGATGAGCTCGAAGAAACGAAACAGCTGTCTAGAGGCGTAAACAATATCTGTCAACGGAAGTGTCCTTGCTGTGCTGGTGTGTTTATGCTTCGTGCATTAGTTCGGCCAAGAGCGCATGGTGGTGGCGGGTTGAGGATGTAGAACAGCGGAGTATGACCTAAAGCTCTGTCACAATGTACTTTATTAGGAAGGTATAGAAACAGAAAAAAATGTATCTTGATCTTGGGCGTAAACAGCCCGTCTCACATTAAATATACTAGAAAATAGTTCACTCTGAACATGCAGTCTTCCTAAGAGAGAGAGAGAGGGGGGGGGGGGGGGTATATTCATAGGTTCGAATGAACCGCACACACACTTTACTGCAGACAGCGGCAAGCTTTGGCCCTCGTACTTCGAAGAGGGAGCAATCCACTGCGCTACGCTTGCGATTAACAGCAAGCTTCGACCTTTCAAAGGTACGACTCATCACTGGCTCTGGGGTAATGGTCCTGGAACAAATGCCCTATTGCCGACTGAGTGCCAGGGAGCACGCAATCTGCCTTCCTGGGCGAGAAAGTGTTCCAGCACAAGAAGCAGCACGAATACATGCTGACAAAGACCACCATCACCACCAGCCGGCACACAGCACACTGTTCTTCAAACACCATCCACTCCTTCCATGTGTTTGCACTGTCCTCCTCTAGCTCTTCACGCTCAACAAAATACCACGCACTGCTCATCGGTTTTGTTAGTGCTTCCTCTGGGTTGGCTAGCCCTTCGACTTGACAAAACAGCGATCACCACTGCTATCATCACCTCATAGCAGTCGCTTCCACCAGTGGCTTTTCCTGTCTTTGCAAGGTGTCCAAGGATGGCTGCTGTTGTCACTACAGGCAAATCAGAAGTACTTTAGTGGCTGATGTCCAACCAGATCGTTGGAACATCGATTTTTCCACTTCAGGGCTGCTGATCGCGACTTGGCAGCACCACGGTTACCTTCATAGAAGATGGCTCTGGAGAGGAAAAGACAGACCAGAAAAAGGTTACTATTATCTTCAGCACCGATCTCAAGGAGAAAGAAATACGGTCTGCTGTAGCCTGGGCACAAATAAGTCTCACACCACGATTCGCGATTCGAATATTTCAACAACAAAAAAACTCACCTCTGGAGTAACTCCTGTTTTTGGCCCGAGATCGTTCCCTCCCGCGCCTTGAAAAAATCCTGCAGCTGCATCACAGTCCATGTCTCTCTCGGAGACTCTGCTCCTACCAGCAGGAGGTTCAGCACCGCTCGAAGCCATCGCAAACCACTTGAGCTAAGCAGAAGACATTCCAAAACAAAGCTGAAACACACTGTCAAAGATGCTGTCACGTTCAAAAACTAGCTCGATCGCGAGTGAGGTTGCCCCCGTGCTCGAACCCAGTATAATAAGGGGATCGGTCTATTTGATGCGAACAGGCGGATTATTACAATTTTATGCGATTCGTATGCAATTTGCCTCGAATTATGCGATGATTCGATTTTGGTAGGAATTATGCGAAAAATTATGCTAGCATAATCCGTCAAGGCCTACTGCAAGAAGACAGAGAGATACCGGTAGACACTTTTCCGGGTATAGGTTGTTCATTGTCATACGCATGATGTCAGGATTCTTCGCGTGGCAGCCGCAAAGCCTGCAGAAGAGGTCCCGCTCGGCTGTGATATTATTATTTTCATTCGT